TGCACCCCTTGCACCCCTGGGTAAAGATGGCCCCGATCAGCCAGAATCATGCCCGAAATCCTGCAAGATCTGGCCTGAAATGAGTGCTGGTGCCACTTCAGCGGAGGCAGAAGGGCAGGTGGAGAAGCAGGCATGGTGCTGCAGGTGGCAGGACAGGGCAAGGTGGCATTCTGCCTTGGAAAACCCGCAATCAGGATCCGGGCACCAGAGCCCTCTCGATTCCTGTTGGGTCCAGCGACTGGCATAATGTATTCGGAGTGTGACAGAAGGCCATTGGGACTGGCCCAGAGAACGGCCAAAACGGTGGTGACACATTCACTTCTAAGAAGCCCCGTTAAAGGTCCATTAATTTCACTTGGTCTACTCTGAGTAGACAGTTCGCTGCTTGCTAGCCAAGGATCTGCTCCTCCTGTGATCTCCTCTCCTCGCTCTTCCTCCCTCTCTGCTCTGATCTTCCCCCCTCCTTGCAGCCTCCCCACCTGCTCTCTTGACGCGCCTGGCGTCACTTTGATCTCCCCTGCTCCTGTCACCTTCCTCCCTCTGAGCTCCTTCACCTCTTTCTTTCTTTCTGTTTTCTCTCTCCTTTCTGTTCCTGGCAGGCCTGCCTCCCCCCTTCCCCCAATGTCACTGAAGGGTCTGTCCAAGTGGAGTTGGGGGAGACACACTTGCGCACACACACACATAAGATCAAAGGACTCCATAAAGTTTGTGTGAAATCCTATTGAATTCCCCGTATGGTTTGGAAGGCTCCTCCCAACCTGCAAGTCACTGGTGGGAAACTAGGGTGAGATTAAGGAGGCGGAGCGGTGGGAAGGGGGAAGGAGAGGTCTTTGGGGTGGGGGCCCCCTCCAGCCTCAAAGGAGGACCTCCCTGTGGGGCAGAGATTGCCCAGCTGCATAACTCCAAAAACCCAGCAAAGCTCAGAGAAAGAAGGAGGGAGTTCCTTCATTGTTAGCCGCCCTGAGCCCAGCCCTGGCCAGGGAGGGCAGGATATAAATTATTATTATTATTATTATTATTATTATTATTATTATTATTCCTATTATTAAGGACAACCGGGCTGTGGGTGGCGGTGCCTGGAGAAGTTAGCTGTTCTAACTCTGGAATATGCATCCCAGAGTGAACATGAGAACTCCGAAACCAGTGTGATCAAACGTTCCCAAAAGACTGGAGTAAATTTATAGAATACTTGAAGGACAATTGCAAGCAATTAACAACACTGGCAGAACTTAATGAAGAAGACTTGTAATGATGACAATATACAAACATACCTCGGGTTACAGACGCTTCAGGTTGCGCGTTTCTGGTTGCGCACCGCGCCAAACCTGGAAGTACCGGAACGGGTTACTTCCGGGTTTCGGTGCTTGTGCATGCGCAGAAGTGCTAAATTGCGCTTTGCACAGAAGCACCAAATCATGACCTGCACATGCGCAGAAGCGGCGCTGCAGTTTGCGAATGTGCCTCCCGCACAGATCACGTTCGCAACCTGAGCGTCCACTGTATACCTTTTTACATATTGGTTAAAACATTTGATAAATGAAGGGACATAATGTAAAGAGGAAGAAGTACAAATGCTATGGTATAAAAAAGAATTTAGGTAACCATGAGATGGGAGGGAGGGAGGTCAACAGTTTATTTGAACAAATAATATGGAAAATATGAATGTCTTTTAATAGTATAAAATGGAAACTTAATAAATATTATATATATATATAAAACACAGAATGAACATAAGAACAGCCTGCTGGATTAGGCCAAAGTGGACCCATCCAGTCCAGCCTCCTGTTCTCACAGTGGCCGACCAGATGCCTTTTTTTGGAAAGCCCACCATCAGGATTCGAACACAAGAGCAACTCTCCCCTCCGGCCATTTCCAGCAACTGCTATCCAGAAGCATGGCTGCCTCAGACTGTGGAGCCATTGCAGAGCCGTCCTGGCTAGGAGCCATGGGCAACCCTCTCCTCCTCCTCCTCCTCTTAAAGCCCTCCAGGTTGGTGGCCATTGCTGCCTCCGGCAGAAGAGAGTTCACAGAACCATAGAGCTGGAAGGGACCCTGAGGATCATCTAGTCCAACCCCTGCAACGCAGGAATATGCAGCCGTCCCATAGGAACCTGCAACCCCCCTGGTGTTAGCAGCACCAGCTCTAACCCACGGAGCCAACGTCCATAGTTTATGTGCTGTGTGAAGAAGGACTTTCTTGTCTCTCTCCTGAATCATCTTCGCTGGGTGCCCACCAGTTTGAGCATCATGAGAGGGGAAGACAACTTTCCTCCGCCTGCTTCCTCCAGGCCACATAGAATTTTATCAACTTCGCCTCTCGCTCGCCTGTTCCTCGCTGGGAAACCTTGCCGTTCTAGCCCTTCAAACGGCATCCCTGGCTGGTCTCACTGTCGGGTTTGTGATAGCTGGTCATTTTTTGACTTAGCAAACTGAGTGGGAGGTTTTGAGCCCTGGTCCTAACCTGACACTAACCACTGCACCGCACTGCCTGCTTTATTTATTTTTTAAATTTTTGCTCTCTGCCTTCAGCTGAGAGGACAACACCCCACCCCCTTCGCCCTCCCTGGGCCTTGAGGAGCTTGAGAGGCAAAATAGAAGGAAAGTTCCTGGGCTGTTTTATCACCAAGGACATTTGCATGACAGGGGAATCTTTGTCTGCTCCTCCTCCTCATTCCCCCTTTACATAACACCAGGCCAGAGAGAGAGAGGGAGGGAGAGATGCTGCTTTCTGGTTTCCCACAGGCAACGCTTGGCCACTGTGAGAACAGGATGCCGGCCTAGATGGGCCCCCTTTGGCCGGATCCAGCAGCCAGGATCTTAGCCACCAAGGCTGCCCTCTGCCCTTCGCAGCTGGAGACGGCCACGCTTCCGATTGCCAGTTGCTGGAAGACGCAAGAGGGGAGAGTTCCTCTTGTGCTCGGATCCTGCCTGTGGTTGGAGGACGCTGGACTAGATGGGCCCCCTTTGGCCTGATCCAGCAGGCTCTTCTCACAGTCTTACGGTCTCCCAGCCTGTCCTCATTTCCCCCTCGGTCTCCCTGTGATCCTTTATCCCTTTCTGAAGACTTCTCCGCATTCGCTGGTGCTGTAGCCTCTAATCGAGTTTAACTGACTAGATTAATTGATTTTTTATATAAAAAAACCTTAATCAACTCAAAAAGCATCTCCAATAAATTGGGCAACATGTTGGTGGTTTGGGGTTTTTTAAAACCCACTGCAAATTATTTTTGATACAAGGACTTGCTTAAAAAAAGCAAACGCCCTCTGGGCTGGGAGAGTGCAGGTTGGATGGATTCGTTGTTTGAGAGCCAGGGTGGTGTCCTGGCGAGAGTGTCAGGCTGGGCGCTGGGAGAGAGCAGGGTTGAAGTCCCCCACTCAGTTGTTATGCGGAATTAAAGAGGAACATGGTCAAGACAGGAACATTATCCCCAGCCCTGCCTTGTGATTCGGCCTGCCCAGATGAGCAGAGTATTCTTCTTCTTCCTCTTCTTCTTCTTCTTCTTCTTCTTCTTCTTCTTCTTTTTCTTCTTCTTCTTCTTCTTCCTCCCCCCACTAAGCTACAGACCTTCTTCCCAAACAGCAGGTTGAGAAGCTGCCATCTACTGAATTGCTCCCATGAGATCAGTCTTGCCTGCACTGACTGGCAGCAATGGCTCTCCAGGATTTCAGGCATGGGGGGGGGTGTTATTCCCAGCCCGACCTAGAGATGCTTTTGGCTGGTTGATCTGGGGACCTTCTGCATGCCCAGCAGGTGATCTACAGAGGAGAGCCTCAGCGGCTGGGCCAGACCAGGGTGGGGAAAGGGGGATTAAAAACAAACAAATGTGGGTTGCTAGTTTCATGTTGGGCGGGATGGTGGCTTTGGGGCTGAATTTATTGCGTCGATTCCAAATCAACTCTCCAAACCTCCGAGTGCAGGCTGCCAGCCTGGGCTGGGGAGACAAACTGCTCCTCTCCTCTCCCAAGAATCTGCCTGCTCCCATTTCTTTTTCCGTTTTGTGACTTCGTTTGAAGTCGGTGGACAATTCAGCCGGTTCTCTCCCCCCGGAGCCCGCACAGAGAGGCTGGCGTTGGGGAGGGGGGCCTGCCCCCCGCTGCCGATCAATCTCCCTGTAACCCCAGGGCTGGCGGTTCATTTGGGTGCCATGTGACGGCCGCGGCTGCTCTAGATAAAAAGAAAGGGAAAAATCTACCGCTATCGACCTGATCTCTCTCTCTCCTCCCGGGCAGAGAGGGAGGGAGACGGGGGGGAGTGAGCTGCACTTTGCACCCACAAGCCTTCGGAGAGAGAGCGGGCGACGCGGGTGCTGTCAGGCCCAGGGAGGTGAGGGGGGCAGCGCCTGTGCATGCATCGACTTCTGCTGGTGTCGGGTCCCCATTAGCGCCTGCGTCTTCTGGTGGTGGAAGCAGAACAGGAAAGTGTGAAGGAGTAAAAAACCAAAGTGTTTGGCTGCCTGGTGCTTCCCTGTCTGCAATGCCGCAATGCCCTTATGCCACTTTGTTAATAGCACACTTAAGAGATAGCGCTGCCTGGTGGCGATTACAGGAAAAAACACACACAAGGTGCTTCAGTGCACTTTGATGTTGCCCAAGTACCCCTACTGCTCCTCTCTTCCAGCAAAGGCAGAAAAGATGCTGTCAAGTTATTTCTTACGTTTATTTATTGGTTGCCCTCCTGCCCCATCTTTTCTACTCCAGGTGGCAGACGTCGTTCTTCCCCATCTCTTTTAACCCCTACTACAACCACCCTGTGAGGTAGGGCAGGGCTGAGAGGCAGGGACTGGTCCAGGGCTTCGCTGCCCAAGGGGGGATTTGAACCCTGCTCTCCCCCAGCTCCTAGTCCAACTCTCTAACCATTAAGCCACCACTGGATTAATAATAATTATGCTTAAATTAAAGCAGTCAGACGCATGTTGATAGAACAATAACAGCAATGATACGACTTCCTACGGCATAATTTGGGGTCTGTTCTCAAACTCTTGCTCCTCTTTCTCTCTCCAGTTCTGCAGACCCGCTTTGTCGAAGAGCCTGAGGACCAGACAGTGGTGGCCGGGCAGAGGATTGTGCTCTCTTGCGTGGTGCTGAACTATTCCGGGATCGTGCAGTGGACGAAGGATGGCCTGGCCCTGGGGATGGGGCAAGGCCTCAAAGGTAGAACCAGAGAATTGGGCCGCCGGAAGGGACTCCTAAGGGCCATCTAGCCCAACCCTTTGTGTTATGTGTGTGGTGGCGCTGGAGGTGGCCTGCACTGTTATTTTTATTCTGCAAAAGAGCTTTGCTTTGCACCCTGAATTTTTCTTCTCTGGGGCTGCGAAATTGCCTTTGTGGGGGGGGGGGGTCTTGGCTGCTAGTGTTGTGCTTTCAGCTGGCTTCCCAAAGCAACACTCGCCCTCTTTCCCTTTCAGTCTCTTCACCCCCAGCCTGGCTGCTCCTGGCTGTAACATGGAGGACGGCTGCAGCTCAGTGGGGAGAGCATATGCCTGGCATGCAGAAGGCTGCAGGCTCAAGCCCCACTGGCAGCGTCCCCAGGCAGGGCTGGGACTCTTGCCTGCCTGAAACCCGGGAGAGCGGCTGCCAGCCAGTGCGGACAATCCTGAGCTAGGGAGACCCGTGGCCTGACTTGCAAGAAGAGAGATGATCTTCGCCTTTTAATCAGTCTTTTTTATTTTTCCAATTCATCAATACCTTGCTGGACTAAGGGTGCAGAGAGTCCATTCGCACTGTCCCTTTGTTAGCATTTCTTGGGTATATAATTCAAAAGGATATTTTTCCTCTGCAAACTTTAGATTATTCCATACAGTCGTGTTGATCATTTGTACTACCCTCTGCCCAAAAATTACCAATAGAGGGTCTTGTAAGAACAAAGGATTTAAAGAAGCATCGTCTCCCACCCCCTTTATGTGACTCAATGTGGAAATCTGAACTCTGGAAGTGCGCGGGGCCCAGGCAGGCCAGTGAGATCCATCTGGCTTGATATTGTCTATACCAGGCATGTCCAAAGTCTGTTTTGGGGCCTAATCCTCTGGTTCCTGTGGGTAAAATCCTAAAAAAAACCTCAAGAATCTCAACCTAAAAGCAACTTCAATCCCAAAAAAAGATCAACAACTTTGGGGTAAAATCCTTTAAAAAGTTCAACAACAAGGTTAACAACTTTGGTCGGCCCTCACGGCCCTTCACTTCATCAAATCTGGCCCTCTTTGAAAAAAGTTTGGACACCACTGGTCTACACGGACTGGCAGCGCCTCTCCCTGCTTGCAATAGGACCTTTATTGCGCAAAGCAGACATTCTGTCATGTCTATTATTTTTATAATTTATACCCCGCCCATCTGGCTGGGTTTCCCCAGCCATTCTGGGTGGCTCCCAGTCGAATATTAAAAACACAATACAGCATCAGACATTAAAAACTTCCTAAACAGGGCCGCCTTCAGATGTCTTCGAAATGTCAGATAGTTCTTTATCCTTTTGGCATCCGGTGGGAGGGCGTTCCACAGGGCGGGGGCCACCACCAAGAAGGCCCTCTGCCTGGTTCCCTGTAACTTGGCTTCTCGCAGGGAGGGAACTGCCAGAAGGCCCTCGGCGCTGGACCTCAGTGTCCGGGCAGAACAATGGGGGTGGAGACGCTCCTTCAGGGATACTGGACCGAGGCCATTTAGGGCTTTCAAGGTCAGCTCCAACACTTTAAATTGTGCCCAGAAACGTACTGGGAGCCAATGTAGGTCTCTCAGGACTGGTGTTATGTGGTCCTCATTGTTCTGAAGAAAGGGCAGAGGGATCTGCCTTGGCAGAGTCGGGCACTTGAGCCAGCCAGCTCAATATTGTCAGGCAGGCGGCATAGCCAGCCCTAGATTGAGATGCCAAGCGGTGGAGCCTGGGACCTTCTGCATGCTGAGCAGGTGTCCACCGCGCCCTGTGGCTCCTCTCCTCCCAGTCCTGGGGGAGAGGTTTGTCACAGGAGGAGGGTGGCGACGCATCTTCCCTCGGTACATAGGAATTTTATGATTGCAAGAAGCCTCCCTTGGTCTCCTCTCTCTGCTCTGGCTGCCCCAATGAGTGTGCCAACAGCGCCACCTACTGGGAGAGGGCATGGGCATCCCACACCCTTCTTTACAATTTCATTCTTGATTTCTTTTTCTTTTTTAACGCTCCAGCTTTAATTTTGGGACAGTTATCGCCTTGCAAAATGAATCCCCCAACTTTATTGCATTTCACAAGATGATCGATAAAAATTTTAAGAAGGCTCAAAAAGTTAAAAGAGTGGCAGATCAAAACTTGCACCCACAAGCGGGTATAGCCTTGCCTAAGCAAAAATGCTCTCAGCTGGTGCCAAGGGCACCGTGCCTAATGCCAAAAGGCAGGGGATTCCAGGGTGCAGATGCTTCTACGCTAAAATATTGAGTTCTTGCAGGGATTGTGTGGCACCTGAAACAGGTCTGGTTCTGCAGATTGAAGCTGTCAAGGGGGCACATGGGGCGTAAGGCAATCTGGCAGGGAAAGTGGGGCAGGGAGGCTTGCGAAATAAAAAGACACAGCACAAGAGGAAACAGGAGGGGAGGGAAAAGGCAGAGGAGGGAGATCAGCCCTTCGAGTCCCGAGCAAAGGGCTGGGCTACAAGGACATCCACTCCAAGGCAGGCCGGTCTTCCCTTTCTGGTGGCAGCAGCGCAGATTCAGGGCTGTGTGAGTGGGGCACTGGGCGCTGAGCTGAGGGGGCACCCAGTAAGAGAGGCGCTGGGCTTTGAGAAGAAGGAGTGGGGCTCTAACAGGGTCCTAGAGTCCTCCCGCCTCCTCAAAGCATAGCTGTCAATGTTTCCCTTGTTTACAGGGGAATTCCCTTATTCCGAATAGGATTCCTCACAAGAAAAGGGAAAAGTTGACAGCTATGCCCCAAAGCCCAGTTGGCACTTTCCCAGCTTTAAGAAGGAGGCACAGGGATCCAGGACTCTGCCGGGACCCCAGCACCTCCTTCCCAAAGCTGGGCACCGTTGGCAAGGCAGCTCGAGGGCTAGGGAGGGCACTAAATTTTGGCCTCACACAGAGCACCGCTGTAGCCGATTCTGCCACGGACATGAGAAGATCCTGCCAGATCAGGCCAGCAGCTCATCTAGTCCAGGATCCTGTTCTCACAGTGGCCAACCAGGTGCCCATTACACGAAACCCACAAGCAGGATCCGGGCAAAAGAGCAACACTCTCTGGCAGTTTCCCGCATTGCTGCTTCCAGCCGTGGAGGCAGAGCAAAGCCGTCCTGGCTCATCGCCCTCGATAGTCCTCTCCTCCCCCATGAATTTATCCAGTCTTCTTGTGAACTACCTCCAGTGACAGGGAGTTCCACAGTTCAACCCTGCACTGTGTGGAGAAGAACTGGAGAGCGGCTGCCAGTCAGTGTAGACAATGCTGAGCTAAGGGGATCCCAAGGTATCTTCATTCTGTTCTTCATTCTGGCCAGGAGAGGGGAATGCAGGCTCCTTTTGTGGCCGGTGGGGATGGAGTGGGGGGGGGCTCCAGCTGACCCTCTTTCTAGGGGGCAGGAGGGGGCAGCCCCCCCCCCCGGGACTCCACCGGCCAGAGCGGGATGCCCTTCTGTTTTTTCCGGCCTTTGTTAATTAACTCCTCGGACGGTTACTTTGCAGACGTCCGCCTGACCTTTTCCCCATTCGCCCTGACCAAGCCATCGCCCGCCTCCACAGACCAGCGTCCTGGGAGTAAAACAAATAAATGAAAATAATTAAAACCTGACGCCAAGGTTATTATGGTGGTACACCAGGAGAAAGCTGCACTCTGCCACTTTTAACGAGGAAATTATGCGTGCTGAGCTCATTTGCATATGTTGACATTCTTTTCCTTGGCACCTGCTCTTCCTGGAGGGGGGCGGCGAGGTGGACTGAGCACCTCCCCAGCCCTCGCAGAGGTTGCACGGGTGCAGAGTGCGCAGGGCGCTTCAAGCGCACGTCCGCAGCCTTCCTAGGGGCAGAAAACGGGCTCCTTGGGAATACAAGCCGCGGTCCCCACCGCCACACAGATCTCTTCCAAATTCTGCGGCTGTCTCCCATAGCGGGGAGAAATGGTTCACCCCGAGAACCTGCTTGCTGAATCGAAGCAAACAGCAATGGGGTTTGCCGCAGATCTCCATTTGTTCCGATTCAGCGGTAAACAACGGGTTTTCCTTGAAGAAAGAGGTGGGACCAAAAAATCTGTATAACCCACTGTCCGGACCCGTGACTCCAAAGCACGGCATGAAAGGAAAATCTGGGGGGGGGGCCAGGCCAGTCCCGAAATTTGGGGATGGGAGAGGAGGGTCATCATGAAGCTTGTGCAAAATGGTGTCTATGCAGACACACAAGTGCTGTTCCTACGACGAAGAAGGAACTCGGCACATGCCCAGAGTTTCTCTCCTCCTGGCTTGTGTGACTAAGGAAGAACGCCTCTCCCTTTGCTGCTCAGCGGCAGCACAACAGCCCTGCGGTGTCGCCAGGAGGTCTTCCTCTCCGCCCGGTTTCTCCTTCAGCCCCACAGGGGAGGGAGCCTGAGACGCACCCAAGCAGTTGCTCTGGAAAGGCCCCGATCCAGGGCCCCAGCACTCGGCCGCACAGTGGTGCTTTAAAGGTAAAGGTAAAGGGACCCCTGACCATTAGGTCCAGTCGTGGCCGACTCTGGGGTTGCGGCGCTCATCTTGCTTTACTGGCCGAGGGAGCCGGCGTACAGCTTCCGGGTCATGTGGTCAGCAGGACTAAGCATGGCGAACCAGAGCAGCGCACGGAACGCCGTTTACCTTCCCGCCGGAGTGGTACCTATTTATCTACTTGCACTTTGACGTGCTTTCGAACTGCTAGGTGGGCAGGAGCAGGGACTGAGCGACGGGGGCTCACCCCATCACGGGGATTCGAACCACCGACCTTCTGATCAGCAAGTCCTAGGCTCTGTGGTTTAACCCACAGAGCCACCTGTGTCCCTTTACTTGAGCGTAAAGGCAGCCTGCCTCTGGCAGAGGAGTGCACTGGTCGCTTGCAACACCCATCTTCAGTTCCCAGTAGCCTGAAGGCCAAGTGGGATTCAGGAACCCCGAGGTTGGCAGACACATGTACTTTGGCAGTCAAATGAAGGAACTTTATTAGAAATAAAGGGAGGGGGAAGCAGGCAGAAGGGACAGGGGTGGAGCTGTGGGTTAAACCACAGAACCTAGGACTTGCCGATCAGAAGGTCAGCGGTTCGAATCCCCGCGACGGGGTGCACTCCCGTTGCTCGGTCCCTGCTCCTGCCCACCTAGCAGTTCAAAAGCACGTCAAAGTGCAAGTAGATCAATAGGTACCACTCCGGCAGGAAGGTAAACGGCGTTTCCGTGCGCTGCTCTGGGTTTGCCAGAAGTGGCTTAGTCCTGCTGGCCACATGACCCGGAAGCTGTACGCCGGCTTCCTCGGCCAATAAAGCGAGATGAGCGCCGCAACCCCAGAGTCGGCCACGACTGGACCTAATGGTCAGGGGTCCCTTTACCTTTTAAGGAGGCAGAAGGGCCAAAGAGAACCCAAAAGGCACCTGAGAACTCCTCCTAGTCTATTTGCTGCACTCTCGGGTTTGCTCCCAAGGGATCAGCCAGGCTGACCAGCTCCATGGAGGATCCCACTGTGGATCCCTGGCTCTGGAAAGGGAACTGGATCCCTGGTGTTGGGAGGGGAAGGAGCTGAAAGAAGCGGCTCAGCTCCTCAAAGGCTCACTCCACTCTCAGGGGGGCGATCTTTGCTCTGTCTCCTCAACTAGGCATTTGAGGTGCCCATTTTGCATACAAAGAGGACTGGCAGGACACACTGGCAGCCTCCCTTAGAGAAATGGTGGCCGACCCGGGGCCCTGGTGGGCAAGTGGGCAAGTTCTGGCTGGGCTACTGCAGTCCTCTCCCCCTGGGGCTGCCTTTGAAGACTGTCTGGGTGCTCCAGAGGGCGGAAATGCAGGCGCCTGGCTTCCCAATTGCTTTATTCTCCACCTGGTTCCTTTCTTCTCTGCACCGTTCAGGAACCCTAAATGATCAAGTGTTAGATAAATGCCATCAATAGGGGAAGCCTCTTTTCCCTTGATAGACCTTTGGGAACTGGCTGCTTTTCAAGGAAGGGGCTTTTCAATAACGCTGCACTGTTTTTATTATTATGTTTATCATTTCTCTTTTAGTAGATGTGTTTTTTAATTCGACGGCAGCTTAATTATTTGTTAGTAATTATCTTTTCTAAGTTTTTAGTTTTTGTGTTTTATCTGTCTTGTCTGAATTTCTGCGTAAGCCGCCTTGTGTCGCAGTCCTGGGAAAAAGCAGGCCAATAATAATGATGATGATGATGATGATGATGATGATGATGATGATGATATTGTTCACCATGGCCTGACCATTGCATCTCCTTTGTTTTAAAAAATCTCTCGCAGCCTGGCCCCGGTACAGGATCATTGGAGCCTCTGATTCTGGACAATACAACCTGGAGATCACGGATGCCGAGCTCTCGGACGATGCCCTCTACGAGTGCCAGGCCACAGAAGCGGCACTTCGCTCCCGGCGCGCCAAGCTGACAGTCCTCAGTAAGTGCTGTTCTGACATTTCTCCTCGTCCGCCCCCCCCATCCCTTTGGGGAAGAACTGAGACTAGAACTCAGGACGCCTCTTAGAGAAGTTCTGAACTGTGCTGCGTGCGGATCTCTAGCTGTTCCTGCAACAACCTGGATGCTGTCCTGATTCCTCCAACATCCCACTTCACTGGAACCCCCGTTGGGGTCTAGTATTATGGGAGAGGGAGGGGGGAACCTCTGTCCACTTTCACACCAGACAATCTTGGACCCCTCTGTCATGGCCCCTCTTATTCTCTCTCTCTCTCTTTCTCTCTCTATATAGAATTTAACGCTATTATTATTTGTTCACAATTACATTATAGCAAATAATAACAAGCTGAATTCCCCGCTTCTCCCCCCCCCCACATGACTTCCCTCAAATTCCCCTTCTATTTTTTTACATATAAACTTGTCCTGCTTACAATACTATATTTCAATATTATATCCTTAAATCAAATGCTGTTATATTCTTATCATTTTGACCTCATTTTTATAGCTTCTATGTTTATATTGTTAATTGTAAGCGTTTACTCGAACCCAGCTAGTGAATCCATTTCTTTACATTGATTCTGTAGATACAGCATAAATGGAGCCCAATCTTCTTTAAAATCTCATTGTCTTTGTCTCTGAGTCTTTCCATTGGCTTCCTTCGCCATTTCAGTATATTCCATCCGTTTCTCTTGCCATTGTTCTTTGGTTGGTATTTCATCACTTTTCCATCTTTGGGCTAGTAAAATCCTAGCCACTGAACAGTTTTTCTTCTCCTTTGGCATATCTTGACCTGAAATGTCCAGTAAAAAGGTTTCTGGTCTTTTAACAAAAGTTATCTTAAACATTCTTTTCAATTCATTGTAAATCATTTCCCAATATTTTTTTGTTTTTTATTTTACAATTCCACTACATATGAAAGAAGGTACCTTCTTTTTCTTGTACGCCCTCTTCTTCTCAAAGCTGCTCCAGGCTCGGCCCTCTTCTGGAAACCTCATTTCTCCTGGTGCTACAGATAACAATGCAGGGGGTGGACTAGATGACCGCTGGGGTCCCTTCCAACTCTATGATTCTGTGATTCCCCAAGGAAGCCTCCCAAGGGACACCTGTCCCTCCTTCTGGGACCTCATGAAGACAAAGTGGGGCCTCCTGGTTTTTTGGGGGAGCAGATTAGGGTCAGACTGACCCCAGCTGTGGGGGCAAGCTCTCACTTGTGGGGCAGGGGCAGAAATAACCTCCTAGCAAATATTTCCCCCCTCCATTTTTGCTTTTCCTTTCTAATGCAGTTGCTGGTGGGGGAGAGGAGGGAGCAGGCAGGCGGAAGCAGCACAGAGTCCGCCCCCCCCCAAGTTTTCCACAGGGTTTAACATTCCTCTGCAGCTTTTATGAAGCAAGTGGGGGAGAACACAAATTTACAGCCCCCCACGGCAAGTGTAACTCATGCTGGCCATGAATATATATTAAGGCATTAAGAGCGGAGGGGGAATCTGGGGGGGGGGGGGCAGAGGCGCGATCAATGGGACGAAACGGCCTGATCCTGCGGGTGGCAGGGGGAGGGGGGAGTCGTAGTTGGAGCAGCTTTGGGGATCCAGGACCGAGAGGAAGGGAGCGTTGTCAAAGACGGAGAGGGGCATTAGTGGCCATTTTCAAATATCTAGGGGGCTGCCCCATAGAAACTGCAGCAATCTTGTTTCTGGAGAACAAGATCGAAACCGACTGATTCACATTTCGACCGAACACTCAGAAGGGGGAAGGAGAGGGGCTTTGGCCAGCCCCCAATCCACATCGGGGAGCTGCGGTTGTTGGGGGATGGGAGGGGGCAGACTCTCCCTCCCTCCCCACCCCATTTACACCCCTGGCGTCCTTCCCTGCCCAAACCCCACTTGTGGCCATGAGCATGGATCTCTGGGTCTCTCTGGCGGCCTGCCCCAGCTGCTGACCCCAAACAGCCGGCTGTCAGCCGCATGGAGGAGACGCGCCAGTAGGAATACCAATGGCCGAGGCAGGACCCCCTCCCCACCCCAGTGGCCTGGCCTGAGCCAGTCAAGGGAAGGTGGGCGAGAACAGAAATCGTGGAGATGGAGGGGAACCCAAAGGTCATCTAGCCAAACCCCCGGCAGTGCTAAATAATCCCTGGCCTCAAGCGAAGGAGAGTCGGCCGCCTTCCCAGGGTGTCTGTCCTCCTGCCCAATGGCCCTTGGCTCAGCTTCTCCTTACTGGTCATTCCACTGATCAAGGTCCTGCTCCTTCTGTCCGGAGCAGCAGGAAACAAACTCGCTCCATCTTCCCTGTGACAGCCCTTCGGGTATTTGAAGACGGCTCTCATATCTCCTCTCCTTCTCCTCTTTTCCAGGCTCAGCATCCCCAACTCCCTCGGCCATTCCTCACAGGGCTGGGCTTCCAGACCCTTGGTCATCTCAGTCCCCCTCCTCTGCCCATCTTCCAGCTTGTCCATCTCCTTCTCAAACAGTGGTGCCCAGAACTAGACACAGTGCAGTGGTACCTCGGTTTACGACCAGTCCAGTTTACGAATTTTTCAGTTTACAAACCCGGAAATAGTGTCCCGGTTTGCAAACTTCACCTCGGTCTACGGCCAGAATCTGAACAGTGGAAGGGCACCGGCAGCAGGAAGCCTCCTTGGGGAAAGTGCGCCTCAGTTTACGACCGGTTTCGGTTTATGACCGGACTTCCGGAACAGATTAAGGTCATAAACCGAGGTACGACTGTGTTCCAGGTGGGGTCTGGCTGAGGCATCATAGAGTGGTATTATTACTTCCCTTGATCTGGACCCTAGACTTCTCTTCCTGCAGCCTAGAATAGCATTCACCTTTTTTGCTGCTGCATCACACACTTGGCTCCTGTTGAGCTTCTGTTCTGCTCAGACCCCTCGATCCTTTTCACCTGTACATTTTGCATGCAATTGCTTTGTGAATTAGTTGCAAGCCAAGAGGGGGAGGGAAGCCTCCCCAAATCTCTTTCCCAATCAAACACCCCTCTGCCTCCCTCTCCGCCTGACCCCCCCTCACTGCTTCATAATTAACAAGCGCCAACGAGACACCCCATTTTCTCCCCTCCTTCATCTTCATTTCTTCCTCTGAACAAGGCCTTTTTTTAGCAGGTTGTTGCTCCTATTATTATTTTAAATTAAAAGGGTGATCATAAATCAATAATGGAGCCCTGTCTATATCTAAGGAGAATGAATCCATCAAAAAAAGAAAGGGGGGGGGGAGAGCCTGTCTCTTTATCTTATTGAGTGACAATCAGGCTGTCAACTCGGTCTTGATTTTTCTTTCCCCAAAAAGAGAGGGAAACCGTGAGGGACCCTCTGTTTCCCTGTCACTGAGGCAGCATCAATATTTCAGAATTATGCAGCCTGGGTTCTTTCATTATTTTGGGGGAGGTGGAATCCTGCGAAGTGGTGGTGTGTTTTGAAGAGCTGCTGCTCTCCACCCAGCTAGCTTGCGAGGAGCAATTTTGAAACAAGACCACTCAGGAGAGAACAAGGAGGGAGAGCCCAGCCTTCCGAAATCTCCGCAGGTAGCAGGCAGAGTTCCTCTCTGCCTTGCGGAAAGAGCCTCGTCACAAAGAGGGAGAGATATATATATATTTCATCAGAGAGGAGCGGAGCGGAGGCAGCTGCTTCTTAAATCCCCCCTGTGGAACTGAACAGAAGAAGAGTAGAATCACAGAATCAAAGAATCATAGAATTATAGCGTTGGAAGGGACCCCAGGGGGTCATCTAGTCCAACCCGCACATCTTTCACCCCATAGAAAGCAGAGGGGGTTAAGCAGGGCTTCTTCCGGAGGCTGGGGAGCTCACCTGAGGCAGCAACAGGGAACACCTATGACTCCCAACTCCTGACATCCCTGACCATCGGCCAGGCTGGCTTCTGGGGCTTCTGGGAGTTGTAGTTCAGCCACACCTGGAGGACCTCGAATGGCTTCCTGGCCTGGGGAGCCAAGTGTATCCTAGGGCGGGGGCAGCATGTTGGCGTTCAAAGGGATGGCTGACCCTCTTTGCCTCTCCCTCCGCAGTTCCTCCCGAGGACCCCGTGATCGACGGAGCCCCCGAGATCCTGCTGCGGGCTGGGACCCCGCACAACCTCACGTGCCGGGCGCGCAACGCCAAGCCGGCCGCCACCATCGTCTGGTTCCGCGATGGGGTGCAGCAGACGGAAGCGGCCACGACCACGGTAGGGGCAGGGGGGGCCTGCTTCGGATCCGGCTGGTGGGGGAGGTAGGGTGACAAACGAAGTGTCTCCTTAGTTGCAGCATAGCAACTTTTGCATGTATGCCAGACCCCCGGAAATGAGGCTATATTGCAGGCAGAGACCATTCTGCATGCATTCAGTTGCTGCATAGCTGTGGACTTGCGGGTCGTTTTGGACCCAAAAGAGGCAGGTCTTTGAAGTTATATTATGAAGCCTCCTGTATTTGCTGGATCCGGGAATGGATAAAATTTTAAAAAGCTGTGGGAAATCCTTGCAGGAGTTCCAGGAGGCATAAACTCCCAGGACAGGATGTCGCAGGTTTTCTGGCTATGTGGAGAGTTTTGTGATGTCATTTACAGTGGTGCCTCGCAAGACGAAATTAATTCGTTCCGCAAGTTTTTTCTTCTTGCGAGTTTTTCGTCTTGCGAAGCACGGTTTCCCATAGGAATGCATTGGGAAACCGCCTTCAGACCAGGTCCGGGGACAGTCTGTCCCCCGACCTCTTCTGAAGGCTGGGGGGGGGGACAAGGGCTTTTCTTCCCACCGCCAGCCTTCAGAAGGCTGTTCTGAAGGCTGGCGGTGGGAAGAAAAGCCCTTCTCCCCACCTCCCGCCCCGCAAGCTCCGGGGACAGGAGGGCTTTGCTGCCGACCGCCAGCATTTTAAAAGCCCCCGGGACAGCGGAGACTTCTCCGCTGTCCCGGGGCGATTTTAAAATGCTGGCGGTCGGCAGCAAAGCCCTCCTGTCCCCGGAGCTTGCGCAGCGCGCTTCCCTGCTATCCCGGACCGCTTTTAAAATGCTGGCGGTGGGGAGCAAAGCCTTTCGGCCCCCGCCGGCCTTCCTGGACCTCTTCTGAAGGCCGGAGGGGGGCAAAAGGCTTTGCTCCCCACCACCAGCATTTAAAAGAGGTCCCCGGAGATTTCCCTATGGGCTTTCTTCTTGCGAAGCAAGCCCATAGGGAAATTCGTCTTGCGGAACGACTCAAAAACGGAAAACTCTTTCGTCTTGCGAGTTTTTCGTTTTGTGAGGCGTTCATCTTGCGAGGCACCACTGTAGTCTTGCCTCAGTTTGCACATAAGAAGAACCTGCTGGATCAGGCGCATACCCATCTAGCCCAGCATCATCTTCTCATGCTAGCAAGCAGATGTTCCCCATGGGAAACCCACAAGCAGGGTTTGAGTGCAAGAGCCCTGTCCTCTCCTGCGGTTCCAGCATTGTTGCCTCTGACAGTGGAGGGCAGAGCAAAGCCCTCTCCTCCTCCATGAATTTGTCCAATCCTCTTTTAAAGCCATCCAGGTTGGTGGCCATCACTGCCTCCTCCTGTGGCAGGGAGTTCCACAGCTTAACGCTGAGCTGCATAGACTTTCTTGTGCCTGCCCTGAATCTCCCAACGGCCAATTTCATTGGATGCCCATGAGTTCTAGCATTACGGCAGAGGGAGGAAAATGTTTCTCCGTCCGCTTTCTCCAGGCCAGGCAGAGTTTTGCAAACTTGTCTCTTCTTCCTCGCCTTTTCTCTAAATTGAAAAGTGTCTCACGCTGCATTTGAGCAGGGAGTTCTGGCTGCCTTCTCAACCCCGCTGTCTCCGCTATCCAAACCTGGAGCGGAAGATGGGACTCTGCGCCTTCTGGTTCACCAAAGGGAACCCGCCCCCCCCCCACGTCAGGAGGGGGCCTGATTCTGGCTTGGCGCTGTGCTCTTGGAACGGAGAACAGAAGGAAAGGACCTAGGAGTTCCAGCTCCTTCCAATGAGCTTCAGAAGTGAGCTTTTCTTGCCCCCACCCCATTTTTCTTTATTTTGTGAGTGGAGGGAAAAAAGGAATTAATGGGAGATAAGTAGCTATCTCTGGCTGCCAGCCACGTGGCTGTGCTCTGCCTCCATCTTTAATCTTGTTTTTAAGTTGTATTTTAATCAATTGTTTTTATATCTGGTGTTAGCCACCCTGAGCCTGGTCTTGGCTGGGGAGGGCAGGGTATAAATAAAATTTATTTTCATTATTATTATTATTATTATTATTATTATTATTATTATTCTGAGTAACAGCCCTGGGCTTCCCATTGGGGCACCTGATTTGCCACCCTGAGCCAGGATTCTGGGCCTTGCCTGTTTCTCCCCAAGCGGCAACATGGGGGTGCGTCACCCCCGGCCCCTGGCCAGATCCACCAGTCTCTTCCATGTTCTTAGATGCTGCCATTGTGCTCAGCTCTTGTGGCATCCGGCTGAGCCCTGCAGAAAAAGGATTCTGAACTAGATGGGCGCCCCTTGGCCAGATCCAGCAGCCAGGCTCTTCTTCTGTTTCTATGGAACCTCCAGCTCCAAAGGCACTCTATCGAGAGTCTGAGCGGCATGCAGCCATTGTGAGAACAGGAGGCTGAGCTAGATAGGCCTGATCCTGCAGGGCTTTTCTTGCATCCTTACGAGTGGAAGGAGCCTGGCTGCATTTTGCACGGACCGTCGCTCCCAAATTAAGTCTGGAGCCGAACCAAGTTCCTGTTCCGTTCTGCCTGTGCCCATTAAAGGCCCAACGAGGTTGTCGGAATTAATGTTATCGCCCCATAAATGTCTGGGGGGATTAATGAGCGGGAACGGCTTGGCTCAGGAGCTGGCGCAGGGAGGGGGCCATCAGTGAGGAAGTTCCAGTGGTGGTGACTGGGGGGGGGCAGGGAGATGGGATTCATAATTGAGAAGGGAGAGGAAAACTCCACAGAGCAGAGAGAGGATTTTCCTGGAGGGGAAAAGAGGGACGGAAGAGAACGCCACAATTGGATATGAGGAAGGGCTGGAGTTCAGTGGCAGAACACCTGCTTGGCATGCAGAAGGCCCCAGAATCAATCCGCACCGGCAGCATCTCCAGGTTGGACTGGACAAAGACACACACACCCCCAAGCTGCTGCCAGTCAGTGTGGGCAATACTGAGCTGGATGGACAGAAGAATCTGACTCTGTCTAAGGCAACTTCCTTTGTTCTCACCTAGATCAGCCCTAGTTTCGGAATCACAAGGACTGGAATCATAAGTTTGTTTTCGGAGGACTGGAATCATTATTGTTCCTGTTTTTATTATGCATTTGTTTTTATCTTGTGAACTGCCCTGAGGTCTTCAGATGAAGGGCAGCATGCAAATGTAATAGATAATAGTAATAATATTGTGTTATCTTAAAATTGTAGAGTTGGAAAGGGACCCCCAGAGTAATCTAGACTAACCCCTGTGATGCAGGAATCGCAGCTAAGGAATTCCTGCCAAAGAGCTCTCGCCCTCAGAAAGTTCCTCCTGATGTTCAGTCAGAATCTCCTTCCCCGTTGATCCGGATCATGCCCTCCAAAGCAGGAGAAAACCAGCTGCCTTCTTCTCCACCTTCCCCACACGGCCGTCTCCTTCTCTCGCCCCTCCAGGAAGTCTTGCCGGACGGGAAGCGAGAATCCACGCTCAGCCAGCTGCTCATCAACCCCACCGACCAGGACATCGGGCGCGTCTACGTCTGCCGCTGCGCCAACGACGCCATCCCAGCGGGCAAGGAGACCTCCATCAAGCTCAACGTTCACCGTGAGTGGAGGGCGGCCTCGTTCTCAGTGCCCCCAGATATCCCAAGGGGGTACCTGAGGATGCCCAGGGGCGTTGGCACCGTCTTGGAGGGCTGATCGGAGAAAAGCAAAGTCCGTGGCCCCCCTGGAAGCAGACCCAAGGTTAAATGAATAGGCCCCATTTGCCCATCAATGCCAGTGGGTCTCCTTGGAGCAGAAAGCCGTTGGACGCAACTCAAATGTTGGTTGTGCTGGTGGCAGAGGCTGGCAAAGGGGGGAGATGGATAGTTATGGTAGTTATCTGTAAGCTGTGGGTGTTTTGTATCATGTCATATAATATGTGTGTTTAAAATCAATTAATGTTTTTTAATTATTGCTCTTCACACACCCCACTCCATGTTTTTAGCTGTTTCGATCTTATCTCTGAGCTGCCTTGCGTCCCTGTCAAAAAAAAAGGCAGGATATAAATCAATATTATAATACAGTCAAACCTTGGATCCCAAATGCCTCCGCTTTGGAATGTTTTGGCTCCCGAACGCTGAAAACCAGGAAGTAAATGCTCCAGTTTACAAACGTTTTTTGGAAGCTGAACGTCCGACACGGCTTTATGTTTGACAACCAAGATTTGACTGTAGTAATAATAATAACAATAAATTATTATCAATAATAATATGCTGTAGACCCATGGGACTTATTTTGTTTTCCCATCCTGGGGAGGTCATGGTCACCCAGGTAGAGGAATCTCAGGAACAGATTGAAGGCGTGCTCTTCCCGACTGACTTTGACTTCTGGCAATTGGCCAGGGAGGGGTCTTTGCTGCTTTGCAGGCAAGGGGTGTTGCTCCCCCATCCCCAAATGCCCTTCCTTCCTTCTGCCCGGCAGACCCCCCCACCGTGACGCTGTCCATTCAGCCCCAGACGGTGCAGGAAGGAGAGCGAGTCACCTTCACCTGCGTGGCCACCGCCAACCCAGAGATCAAAGGCTACAGGTGAGTCGGGGGAGACCGCAGGATCAGGCCAAAGGGGGCCCCTCCTGTAGCTTCTGGCAGCTGTTCTTCAGAAGCCTCGCTGTCCCCAACTCTGCAGGGCAGAGCACTGCCACTGTGGCTCCTAGCCATCAGTTTCCCTCTCCTCCTCCATGAACTGGCCCAGGCCTCTTTTTAAAGGCAGCCAGGTTGGTGTTCATCATTTCACTATGCCCTGTGTGAAGAAAGACTTGTCCCTCCCGAATCTTCCAACACTCAGCTTAATTGGATGCCCAGTGTCCATTTTATCCACTGCCCTTGTGGCAGGGAGTTCCACAGTCTAACCCTGGGAGACAGGTCCTCGGATGAGGGTGGGTTTCAGAAGCCTCCCTTCTTCTGATGCCGCTTTCTCTGCACCCGCCCCCAGGTGGGCCAAAGGCGGCATCATCATTGAAGACGCCAAGGAGAGCAGATACGAGACACAGGTGGACTACACCTTTTTCACGGAGCCCGTCTCGTGCGAAGTGCACAACGACGTGGGGAGCACCAACGTCAGCACCCTGGTGGACGTGCATTGTGAGTGGGGCTGGGGGCGAGGAGGTGACCTGGAAGGGCTCACCTGGAGATCCTGGCCAGAGGCAAAATGGGAAGAAGGCCCAGGTGCAAATGTCTCCTTGGTACGGACTCACAGGCAAGCGAGAGGCAGGATCAGAGTTTGGGGCGCATCTCCAGCCAGGGAGGGGGTGGCCTGGGAAGGGTCCCTAATGCAGGAGAGAGAGGTCTGCCCATCTTGAGCCCTGGGACCAGGTAGGTCACTGTTGGACTTCCTGGAGGAGCAGCATTTGGTCATATCCTGGCCAGATCCATTTACCACCTTTACCAGCCAGTCCTTCTGTGTTCCGCTGCCCGCAATGTCTGCCTTAAGACACACACATTTTAGATGTAAGAATGGCTATCACAGGTTCAGTCGAGAGAGAGAGGAGCCCTGCCACAGGATCAGGCCCAAAGGGGTCCTGGCGTCCTGTTCTCGCAGGGGCCAGCCAGGTGCCCAGAAGCAGAACAGGCGTGCACAAGCCCTCCGCAGTTGCCTCGCCTGGTATTCAGAGGTAGACTGCCCCTGGCCATGGAGGTTCTGCTATCACAAGAGACTTCTTTATGGAGACAGAGCCCAAGGCCCACCTGGTCCAGTCTTCTGAGAGAGACGGGGGCAGATCTCCTGACGCTCTCGTTCTCTCCCCAGTTGCCCCTCGCATCGTGGTGGAGCCCAAGCCCACGACCACCAACATCAGCCTGGACGTGACGCTCACCTGCGTGTGGGCAGGGAACCCGCCCCTCACGCTCACCTGGACCAAGAAGGAATCCAACATGGTCGGTACCCTTCTCTTCCCTCTCCTCCTGACCCCAACCCACTCTCTTTGGGGTGCCCCTGCCTTGGTGTTTGGGGGGGGGGTCCTGGCCTTGACAGGGCAGCAAATTAGGCCGGCTGTTGCCATTCCCCGATTGCTCAGAGGAAAACAGGCTTGTGCCTCCAGGACCAGAATGTTTATTTGCCGGGTTATAAATGAGGGAACTGCCTGCGTTTCATCTGCTGTTTCTATCGATCCGTTTGCAAGTGTGTGTGTGCTTTTGCAGTGAGTGAATTTGCTTTTGCAGTGTTTCTGCGGTGGTGATTTGTTGGGTATTTTAAACAAATCCCTTCTACCTACTTTTCTTTTCTTTTTTTTCTAAAAAAGGTGTATTACATACACACTTTTCGGAGTTGTTCTCAAATAGAAATATTCCGTTCAGGCTAAAATCTCTGATATATTAGGATATCGTATACCGTTGGGACCGAAAACATTTCTGCTTAGTTTTCTAGCAGATGTTATTCCAAAAAATGGTCAAGAAATAGTGTTTCACCTTATAACTACTGCTAGGATTATAAGAACATTGTTTAGGGGAAGCATATCTCCTACAAGATCTCAGTGGACTGAGAACATTTGGCCCATGGTAACTATGATTAAGCTTATTACAAAAGAACACATACAAACCAGCCTAGCAGACTGATGGGGGGAAATGTATTTTTGGTAATGCTTTGGAACAACAAGTTAAATGGTAATAATATTCAACCTTATGCTGCTTTCAACCTGCTGAACAGTATTTCTTTATGATCTTTTCTCTTGGGTTTCTTATGTTTATTAACGAAATGGTTTTTCTAAAATAAAATAAAATGCTGTTGACGTAACCAGCATCTCACAGGCCCTCGCTACAACTCCTATCATCCCTGGCCCTTGGCTAAGCTGGCTAGGGATGGGGGATGTTGGGGTTCAACATGATCTGGCAACCCAAAGTCGAAACACTCTGAGTTCAGGCTGTCTTGTCTTCCCCAACCTGGTGCCCTCTGTTTGGGGGTGCAACTGCCAACCACCCTGGCACCGATGGGCATTAGAGTCCAGAGCGCCAAGCGGGGGGGGGAGCCTTAATCCAGGCAAGGGGGCCAACAATATAGACCAGTAAATAGATAAAATGGAGAGGGTGAGATCCAACCAATGAGTCCTGTCTGGGAGCACTGCTGCTTGTATTGTGGAATACAGTGGTACCCCGCAAGACGAACGCCTCGCAAGACGGAAAACCCGCTAGACGAAAGGGTTTTCCGTTTTGGAGGCGCTTCGCAAAACGAATTTCCCTATGGGCTTGCTTCGCAAGACGAAAGCCCATAGGGAAATCTCCGGGACAGCGGGGAAGCACAGTGCGTCTTCCCCGCTGTCCTCGGACCTCCTCCCGCCGCCCGGCTTCGGAACGAAGCTCCAAAGCCGGGCAGCGGGGCGGGAACGCCTCCTCCCGCCGCCCGGCTTCGGATGGCTTTCCTGAAGACTTGGGGTGGGAGGAGGGTTTTCCTTCCCACCGCCAACATTCAGAATGCTGTTCTGAATGTTGGCGGTGGGGAGGAAAAACCCTCCTCCCACGCAAGCCCCGGGAACAGAGGGAAAGCGCTGCGCGCCTTCCCCTCTGTTCCCGTACCTGTCCTGAAGGCTTGCGGTGGGGAGAAAAGCCCTTCTCCGCACCGCCAGCCTGGCAAGCGGTTTCCCTAGGAACGCATTAATTGATTTTCAATGCATTCCTATGGGAAACCGTGCTTCGCAAGACGAAAAACTTGCAAGAAGAAAAAACTTGCGGAACGAATTAATTTCGTCTTGCGAGGCACCACTGTATCTCCTCTCCTCCTCCTGTGCCCCCAAAATCGTTGCAATTCTACGTGCGGAAGTTGCCCCCTGGTCATTTGACCCTTTTTAATCGTCTTTCTCTCCTAGAAAAGATTGCACAAGGTACCCTGTTTAAAGTTTAAGAATCACGCATGACTTTTGCTTGGTATAGAGAAGCATATTTACATGGATTTATACATGAGACTGACTAATATTTACAGACTGGTTCTGAGGCACAGAGCAGCATAAAAACAACACCTGCTGCTCTCACAGTTAAAGCTCCCTCTCTCGACAGTCGATAGCGGACCTCACTGAAAACACGGCAGCCCGGGGTTGTGCCATCGAGGGATCCTGGGCTACAGCCGTAACCCTTTGCCTGGTATTTGGGATGCACCATCTGCACAGGGGGAGCTCCTAAATCGGGGGTCGGCAAAGTTTTCGTGGCTTGGGCCAGTTCACGGTCCCGCAGACGCCGCAGTGGGCTGGAGTGCGCGCACACATGCGCAAATGCTATTTCTGGTGCGGAGGAGGCATGCGCAGCTTCCCATTGGCTGCATGAGCTTCCTGCAGCCAATGGGAAGCTGGCCAGCATTGCAGAAGGCGGTCCCCATTCTGCTCCATGCCGGTTTACAGCAGCGCACGGGAGCTGACCCAGCGGGCAGTGGGGGTCCATGGGCCGGTTAAATGACTCCCCATGGGCCTTAGGTTGCTGACCCCTGCCCTAAATCAACACAATGGGCGAGGAGGAGGAAGGCTGTTCTACCTGCCAAGCCAGAATGCTTTCGCTGACTAAATGTTTCGCCGTAGCGCAACACCAAATTCCTTCCATGGTTTAATATATACAGTGGTACCTCAGGTTAAGTACTTAACTCATTCCAGAGGTCCGTTCTTAACCTGAAACTGTTCTTAACCTGAAGCACCACTTTAGCTAATGGGGCCTCTTGCTGCTGCCGTGCTGCCAGAGCATGATTTCTGTTCTTATCCTGAAGCAAAGTTCTTAACCTGAAGCACTATTTCTGGGTTAGCAAGCGTATGTAACCTGAAGCATATGTAACCTAAGGTACCACTGTATTTCAAGTACAGATAACCTTAATCATCCATAGCAGGCCATTGCCATTATTGTTTTAAAGCTGTTTTAGCATCCCTGTGTAGGTTATAGGGATCAAATGGACACACCAGCGGCTGTGGAGTTTCCAGATGTTGTTGGGATCCAGTCCCCTCAGCCCCGGCCTTCAGGGCTATCTGTTCAGGATGGTGGGGGTTGAAGTCTGGCCACGTCTGAAGGGCATCAAATGTCCCCCTCCCCACCCCTGGGAAGTGGTGGTGTTGAGGTCCGTGGAGCTTCACACAAGCGAGAGAGAGAGGAAGACCAAGACAAAAACAGAGAAAACAGAAGAAATTTGTGGGGAAGGGAAGACCAAGACATCCAGACAACGTTATGCTAGCTTGGGTTCCAGGGAAGGGCTAGAGGTCTGCTGGAAAAGGGGAGAGGGAGACAGTCGCCTCCTTGCAGCTCCAGGCTTCATGCGGGTGCAGGATCCCTCCTTCCTCTCTCAATCCCACTTGCATCCTCAGGTGCTGAGCAACAGCAACCAGCTGTACCTCAAGTCCGTCACGCAGGCGGACGCCGGGCTGTACGTCTGCAAGGCCATCGTGCCGCGGATCGGGGTCGGCGAGAGAGAAGTCGCCCTCATTGTCAACGGTGAGTGAGGCCGTGAAGCGCAGGGGCAGCCGCTTCACCTGTTGGACTACGAGCCTGGTGTCTGCTGAGATGGAGGGTGGGGTCCCTTCCAACTCTGCAGTTCTGTGGTCCTATCTGCTGGCGGTCCTGAGGGTCACCCCTGCTCTGCCATAGTGCTTGTTCATTTCACAGGGGCTGGCACAAGAGGGGAGCATTGGATTGTGCCCTGACTGTTCCCCCTGAAAATACGAGAGAGAGAGAGAGAGAGAGAGAGAGAGAGAGAGAGAGAGACCCAGGTTAATGGCAAAAAGTACTAAAGAGACAGTGAATAAGACTCTGGGTTCCCTGCAGGGTCTGTTAGCAGTGGGAGCCGATCTAAGGATTTGGAATCGTAATCTCTTCCTAATGTCACCGAGCCAAATTTCCTAATCCTTCTCATTAGCGGAGCCTGTTGTCTGAGCTGACTGGGGTCTCCTGCTTTCCCTGGAAAGACGGGTCAGAGCAGAGGGTCGTTGGGGAAACTGAGGCTGGAGGAAGGAGCGCCGCCGGGGGAGCCCTGTGGGGAAGCTGCTTCCTTATGCAGTGCATCATCTCTGGAACTCCCTGCCACAGGAGGCAGGCATGGCCACCAGCTTAGATGGCTTCAAAAGAGGATTAGGCAAATTCATGGAGGAGGAGGAGAGGGCTATCGGGGACGGCAGCCACGATGTCTTGGCTAGGCCTCCACAGTCGGAGGCAGCCATGCTTCTGAACGCTCATTCCTGGAAACCACAGAAGGGGAGGAGGCTCTTGTGTTCGAATCCTGCCGTTGGGTTTCCCACTGAGGCATCTGGTGGGCCACAAGATGGGGGACCAGGAGGACCTGAACCCAAGAGCAGCAATTCTTCCCACTTGTGATTCTCAGCAGCTGCTGCTATTCAAAGCCTCCCAGCAGTGGAGGGAGCACACAGCCGCTCTGGCCAGTCGCCCTCCATAGCCCTCTCCTCCTCCATGAATTTATCTTATCCTCCTTTGGAGCCATCCAGGTTGGTGCCATGGCTGCCTCCTGTGGCAGGGAGTTCCACAGTTTAACTCTGTGCTGCGTGAGGAAATCCTTCCTTTTGTCTGACATTCCCCTTGCCAGATGCCCGTGGGTCCTATGAACCTCCGCTGTGTCTCCCCTTCCTGGCCTTCTCTCTAGACGAAAAGGTTCAAGTGCTCTTCCGCAACAGACACTTTGGGGGCTAACTTCTCCCATCAGCCTCTGCCAGCTTGGCCCTTCATGGGAGCTGGGGGCCACAACAGCTGGGGGTGCACCAGCTCAAAGGGGGGGGCAGAGGAAGTGTCACTTTTATTCAGTCGCTTGCTGACTACAGTGGTGCCTCGCAAGACGAAAATAATCTGTTCCGCGAGTCTCTTCATCTAGCGGTTTTTTTGTCTTGCGAAGCAACCCTATTAGCGGATTAGCGCTATTAGCAGTTTAGCAGCTTAGCGGCTATTAAAGGATTAGCGGCTTAGCGGCTAAAAGGCTATTAGCGGCTTAGCGGCTTAGAAAAAGGGGGGGAGCGGAAAAAAAATCGCAAGACTCGCAAGACGTTTTTGTCTTGCGAAGCAAGCCCATAGGGAAAATCATCTTGCAAAGCAACTCAAAAACAGAAAACCCATTTGTCTAGCGGGTTTTTCGTCTTGTGAGGCATTCGTCTTGCAGGGCACCACTGTATATCTCCCCCAACAGAAGGCGAAACATTTTCTGCCCTCAAACGCCTTCTTCCTCCCATTTTTCTCTAGGCCCCCCCATCATCTCCAGCGAGTCGGTCCAATACGCCGTGCGTGGGGACCAGGGCAAAGTGGAATGCTTCATCGGAAGCACCCCTCTCCCTGACCGGATGGTGAGTCCCTCCAGATCAGTGCAATAGGCAAAATCGAGAGCTCAGTGGGCAGAGCTGGAGGCTCTGAATCGCGGGGTCGTGGGTTTGAGCCCCCCGTTGGGCAGAAGATCCCTGCATGGCAAGGGGTTGGGCTGGATGACCTCTAGTGGCCCCTTACAACCCTGTCATCCTATGATTCTCTAAGGCTTGGAGCTGGAAGGAGAAGTTTTTGGAGGCGGGCACCCTGGAGCGCTACACTGTGGAGAGGAGCAACACCGGGAACGGCGTCCTCTCCACCTTGACCATCAACAATGTGATGGAGAGCGACTTCCAGACCCACTACAACTGCACGGCCTGGAACGGCTTCGGGTCTCGGACGGCCATCATTCAGCTGGAGGAGAAAGGTCAGGGGGCAGAATTGGCAGTAAACTAAAAACACGTATGCGCAATTCTTCTATGTGTCTGGATACAGGCTGGCCTAAGCAGAAAGGCTTTCAGAAGTTGCCCAAATGAGCACTGTTGAAGGCAGCTGCCTGCGGTCAAGAGGCAGGGAGTTCCACAGGGTGGGTGGTGGCACACGGAAAGAGGGAGTCCTTGCCAGTGCAGGACAGGGATTACGTGACCCCCGTAATGTGCCATTGAAAGGCAGGTAAATCACAACCGCAGCAACACACGGACAGGCTGGCTCTGTCTGGGCAGCATGTCCTCTTCAAGCGAGAGACAGAAATGAAGACGAAGAAGAATCTTTCTTTGCATCAGCCACTGGCCATAGCAATCAAATAAAATGTACTGAAGATAGAGGTAAAAACATAACTATGCAAAATACATTCTGGAGGTTTATATCAAGAATCAAATGAAGATCTTATTCTAATTGCCCCCGCTAAATTTTTTTAGAAGTGAAGCACCCAAGTTCTAGGGTTGCCATATTTCACAGAGTAAAAACCAGGAGACCCCAAAATTGTCAAGGTGTTGTTTTTTACAAAGACGCCAAAAAGCCTGCGGTTTTTCGATTGACTTGTCTAACATCCAGCCCAAAGCGTCCCCTTTGGGGAATTTCCCCCGGATGTCAATTCCGCCTTTGAAATCCCAGTCATGTCTGGGAAATTCGGGACGTGTGGCAGCCCTAAAGTTTTCTGCCCTTGACAGAACCACCTTTAAAAGGGGGTTGGACAAATTCATGCAGGAGACGGATGTCCGGGGCTCCTGGCCACAGGGGCCCCACTCTGGCCCCGCAGTCTTCTGAATGCCAGTGGCTGGACACTACAGAGCTCCGGCTCTTGAGCTTGAATTCCCGCAGGCATCTAGTTGGCCCCCGTGAGAACAGGGAGGCTGGACGAGACGGACCCCCTTTGGCCTGATCCTGCAGGCTCTTCTTATGTTAAATTAAAATGAAGGAGGAGTTGGGGGGCAGATCTTTCGGCCCCTGTGCTTGAAGACGGGGGAGAAAGAGAGAGGCCTTTCCTCACCCTCCTACCTCTCTCCCTTTGCAGAAGTTCTGCCCGTGGGAATCATCGCCGGCGCCACCATCGGAGCTGGCATCCTGGTCATCTTCTGCTTCGTGGCCCTGGCCTGCTTCCTGTACAGACGGCGCAAAGGAAGTGAGTGGGGGGCACTGGCGGGTGGAGAGACGGCGACAGGGAACCAGGAGTGCCGGGGCAGATTCACCGGGGAGGGAGTTCCACAGGTGTCCGGGAGCAGCCACCACCAAGAAGGCCCTGCCTCTCCCGTGTCCCCACCAAGCAGGCCTGGGAGGGTGGCCGGACCGAGAGAAGGTCCTCAGAGCCTGGGCAGGTTTATATGGGAGGATACGGTCTGAACGCAGGCTGGGCCTAAGCTGTAAAGGGCTTTATAGGTCACAACCAGCAGCTGCGATTCCTGCATTGCAGGGGCTTGCAGTTCTACAATTCTATGATCTGGGGGTGGGCACAAATATTGTCAGGAGCTCAGCCTACACTCGAGTAGGACCCTGGCAGAGACACGTGCCCAACTGACATGTTCTCTCCCTCCTGGTCGATCGTTCGGGAGCTTCAAAAGCTTTCTTCAGCCCGAATATCACAGCAACCGATGCCAACCGACACCGGCACACTTAGGGATCCGCAGAGTTTGCACATCATGCGTAACAGACCTCAGCAACTCAGCATTTTGGCTAATCTACTTTATTTACATATAAACACACACGGAGCACTGCAACATGGCTCCCTCTCTCTCTAGCATTAGACAGCAAAGAGAAAAACAAAGGACAATAGTCCCACTTCACGGAACACAGGAACACAAACATCCTGTCTCCATTACTTCCCACTCTGTGGAGTCAAAATATACATCGTCATGTGAAAGACAACAATCCCATGACTGCAATCATGGAGCAGGAATTCTAACAGATATTCCCCACCTTTACCCTGAAAAGAATTGTGACAGGCCTTAAAATTATGGCGGCTATAATTATTTATGTCTGCCACTACTGTGGCCTGTGTTTTGCTAGCCCAAAAATGGAAAACGAGCGAGGTCCCAACCAAAGTAGAGTGGCAACTGAAACTGATGGAATATGCACAGCTTGCAGATTTAACATCTAGATTAAGAGAACAAGAAGAACATACATTTAAAGAGGACTGGGAAATGTTTGCTGATTATTTGGGTGAAAATTGTGTACATTTAAAAACACTGGTAACATTAAGATAAATTCAACAGCGTAAACCACGGAAAGAGAAGAAGGGAAGTCATTGATTTAAGGTTGTCTAAATGAATATCTTGAAATGTAAATTAGAAAAATTTAATAAAACTATATATATATATTAAAAAACTACAGCAGCTAATTGCGCTCTCCCCCCCTGCAGGCCGGAAGGACGTGACGTTGCGCAAGCTGGACATCAAGGTGGAGACGGTCAACCGGGAGCCTCTGACGCTGCACACGGACCGCGAGGGGGACACGGCCAGCGTCTCCACGGCAACACGCATCATGAAAGCCATCTACTCAGTGAGCTGCCCGTTCCCGTCTGTGGGCTGTTGCCTCGAAAGCTCGTAGGAGGGGGTGGGGTGTGAGCTCCAGGGGGCGGGAGGAAAGGCTGGTTTGTGGCTAGGAGGGACTGAGAGAGTCCTCCGTCCACCTGCCCACCGAGGTCCCTGACGTTCTCTTTCCGTTTCCCCAGCCGTTCAAAGATGATGTGGATCTCAAGCAAGACCTGCGCTGTGACACCATCGATACTCGGGAAGAATATGAGCTGAAGGTAAGATGAGCCGGGAGACAGAGAATCGAGAAGCAGTTGCATAGGAGCAGGCTGTAAGAAGAGCCAAAGTGAGCCCATCTAGTCCAGCCTCCTGCCCACACAGTCACCAACCAGATGCCCCCAATGGGTTCAATCCCTGCATGGGACAGCTGCCTCTTTCTGCCCTGCAGGGGGTTGGACTAGATGATCCTCGGGGTCCCTTCCAGCTCTGCAATTCTATGATCTTCTTCTGAAGCCATCCAGGTCGGTGACCATCCCTGCAGAGGAGAGGTTAAAAGAGGGAACGGAATTGAGATTTGAGGTCATATTATGAGGCATCCTGCCTCTGCTGGCTTTGGAAATGGATAACATTAGAAAATATGGGTTTTTCAGATTTGGAAGGTCATGATAACAGATTGGGTTAGCATGCATATCTGTGGTATGAAAAGGTAAAAGTCCATAAAGGATTTTTAACCCACTCGGTAAGGAAATCAATCTATGGTGTATGGTAGAAATATAAATATTTTATAGATAAGTAGAGAACGTTAAGATATGCAGTGAAAAAGGGCTATTAGTAGACGGAGGGGAGGAAGAAAGTCTGAGAATTCGTAGGATTCTTTATGTTTTGATTGTATTTTTTGTGTGAATGTAAACTAAATTGTAAAATCAATAAAATAAAATAAAGAGGGAGTGGGGAGGTGGGTGCCCGACTAGAGATTTCAGTTGCGTGCCAGCCTCGACGCCCTCCAACGGCGCACGGCGCTGCCTCCCAGTCGGTTCCTTGGCTTGACCCTCGCTGCTCCCTTCTCTTCCTTTTCCAGGACCCGACCAACGGCTACTACAACGTCCGCGCCCACGAGGACCGCCCGTCTTCCCGCACGGTGCTCTACGGCGACTACCGCAACCCCGGCCCTTCCCGCTACGAGGCGCGGCCCTCGTCCTGCCTCTCCCACTCCAGTGGCTACGCCCAGCTCAGCACCTACAGCCGAGGACCAGCCTCGGAGTACAGCGCCGAGCCCGTCCCGGGCCCCGCTGCGGGCGCCTCCACGGCCGAGACGGCCAGCCAGCTCTCCTACGAGAACTATGGGGGCCACGGAGCCTTCCCCCCCAGCGCTGGCTATGCCACCTACCGCCTGGGCTACACCCAGCCCCCTCCGCCCGCCCTGGACCGAGCCCCCTACGACACCTATGACCCCCTGGGCAAATACACCACAGCCACCCGCTTCTCCTACACCTCCCCGGACTACGGGCATCGATTCCAGCAGCGGATGCAGACTCACGTCTGAAAGTGGCCGGGACTGGGGAGGGCAGGCGGAAGGTACCTCACGACTCCCCCTGATATTCAGGGGCTCTTCCCCGCCCCCCGAAACCTGGCCCCCTTCGCCCTCCCCCCTGCAGGCTGGACTCGCAGACTTCCCCCCGACCTCAGACGAGGGCGATACCCGGGGGTCCGTCTTTCAAAATCCCCGAGCTTCCTTCCTCCGTTTCTCAGAAATATTTTTCTTCCTCCTCGCATGAAACACTGCTGTGATGGGGGGGGGCTTTTCCGATTCATGGGGGGCTGCAAGGGTGTCGAGCAAAAAGGGGGGGCATCTTGTGAGACTGGACCCTCCTCTCTGCCTAAGGCAGCGCCTTAGTCTCGCGATGGACACCTGCAAGGAGGTAGAAGGTTGGAAATGACCAAACCAGCGGGGGGGGGCAGTGTGGCTGTGCTGGTGTTTGGCTTGGCCCCAAACAAGGATCTGGGGGTACGTGGGGAGCCGTGCGTTGCAGTCGGAGGGGGGTTCTCATCACAATGAGTGCAAGACAGAGAGAGGCTGATTTCTATGTCATGTGGACTAGCGACTTGATTACCAAATGGGGTCGCCACCCCTTCTTCTGTTCTGCGCTTGGTGCAACGACACCTCCTCTGTCAGAGCAGGTGCAAACACCCTTCTTTGTCACAGAGAGGCATGCCAACGGGCCTCTCTGGCAGCACACGCTTTCACATCTCCCCACACCGGTGCAACGCAGCCCCACGTCCCTTGGGGTGCGAACTGATCGAGGTCAGGGGCTAACATTTCACCCACCCGAAAACATCAAGAGAGCCTCGTCCCGCCCGCCTTGAGGCCATGACAGAGCTCCTTGCAGAATTTCATAGACTCGCAGAATTGTAGGGTTGAAAGGGGCCCCCCAAGGATCATCTAGTCCACCCCGCTGCCATGTGGGAGTCGATTTGGTACGCCAAAGGACCCTGCCTGGGGTCCTCTGTGTCTTCACCCTCACCACCAAATTCAGAGGCCTGGAGGGGAGAATGGGCTGAGCTCCATTGCGATGCCTCGTCTCACCTGCTTCCAAGACTTTATCCCTCCTCGTCCCACAGTCGGAGGAGATGGGTGCTGGGGGCTCTTATGGGAGAAACCGCCAGAGAGAAAAGGCCAAGGAGCTCTCCTGGGTCCCGTCCCTGTGACCTCTGGCTGTCTTGCTCAAACACCCCCTCCCACCTGGCTTCCATTCTCTCCAGGCTCATTTCCTAGCCATGAGGACTAGTAGCTTAAGAGGTTTAGCTAGAAAAATCAAGACACCAGCCAAGACTCTCAGGAAGCTGAAGTCCACGGAGGGTGGGAGTCTCTCTTCCCACCTCGCCTCTACGAGGGCAGGACACATCCCTGAATCGTTCCCTGGAGGAGGGGGCTCTTTTAGGGGCTGCCCTCCCCCGACCACCCCCCGCTCCTGCTCCCTGCCAGCCTCCCCTCCTGGCCAGCCACACTCTTTCTCCCTTGTACTTTGAAGGGGGCAAACGGATTCACTGGCTGCGGGTGATTGGAGGGTTTTTTAACTGTGGGGTGGAGGGAGAGTCGCGCCGAGAGATGGGGCAGCTCAAGTGTCCCGGCTGGAAATCGCCAGGCTGGAAGGGACTGCGAGGGTCATCTAGTCCAACCCCGAGGATTCCAGGAATCCCTGCTCAGGCCTCCCTGACGGGACCCCCCACCTCTGCTTAAACCCCTCCAAGGAAGGAGCGTCCGTCCCAGGGAACCTTTCCCTGTGTCCAGCAGACGTCTCCCCCCTCCCATCGCCCTCTCCCTACTTTGTGCATTCCAAAAAGGGGGCTCTGCCTCCCCTTTCTTTGCCATCCAAAGGATCCACCTGCCTCCCCCCCTTTGCTTCTTCCCCCCATCCCTTGACCGCCAATCTTCTGCACTTCCAACGCAGGCGGTTGGGTTAAACTTATTTCTCTCTTAATGCCGTTTATTTTTTGACATTTGTCCGTCTTCCCTCCCTCTTCTCTTCCATCTTCTTCTCCTCTTCAAGGAAACCCGCTCCCCCACTTTTTAAATTTTTGTGCCTTAAAAACTCTTTGAGCTTGATTTGGCCACTAAGAACAGCCTTAGGCATCCTTTGGGGCGACACCCCTGCCAGCCCCGAGATGGTACGGCCGTGTGGCGCTGGGGCTGATGGGAGTTGGAGTCCCACGGCGTCCGGTGGGCCCCACATTGGGGAGGCTGACCTAAAGCACTGAGCAGAGTCTCCACCAGCGGAGTCTGGGGTGGGGGAGGCAGGGGGTGGTAGATGCAAAGGTCCAGATGGGGGGCTTCTCCATCCAGCAGTTTTGCAAGAAGCGAAGAGCTTTGGCTTCTTGCGTGTTCCAAATGCCCCACAATTTTATCCTCCCTTTTTGCTCTCCCCTCCCCGCTTCTTGGCACGCTCCATCTCTCAGGTGAGCAACAGGGCCAAGAGATGCACAACTGGACTCCCTGCGGACCTACAAAGTGAGATTCTCACTTACTTCCGCCTTTGCATGCTACATTTCCACCTGCAAGCTGAAAACAGGTTTCTTTGGCAACGGGTGCCCTCTGCACATGACCTTGAAGCCCCTGGGCATAAGAATGTGCCCACACAGAGCACCATCTTGTGGTTGCCTCCAGCAACTGCAACTCTGCCTGGTCAGGGAGCAGAAGGGGGCAGTGGGCGTTCTGGCACCCTTCACCTGCCAAGGTTCGATTCCTGCTCTTGGATTTGTCATTATCGCTTTTTCCTCCTCGGCGGGGCTCTCATCAGGCAACATATTTGATTTACAAGGTCCCTTAGGCTGCTTTTTCAAGTCGTATTTTCAAAGTATTTTCTCCTCTCTTTTTTGTAAGGAAAAGGAGCTGCCTGACCCGTCAGCCGTGAGCTCCCTTCCCTTCGAGGAAGCAGCTCGGTTGGTGCAATACTGCATGTGGCCACAGTGAGGTGCTCACCCACCTCTTTGAATGAAGTCTATTTGTGATGGCACATCATGCCCTTTTTTGCTCCAGGAGAAGCTTAGATGAATTGCAAAAAATGGAGAGATCTTTGAGGGGAGAAGGGAAATGTCTCCTTCCAAAGCCTCTTCCTCTCTCACTTCCTGATCTTAGACTCCAGTCACCCTGGTCCCTCTCTCTCTCTCTCTCTCTCTAAATCATGGAGTCATAGACTCACATCATTGTAGAGTTGCAATGCCAGAATCGCAGCTGAGGACCATCAACAACCTCTGCTTAAAATCCTCCAGCGAAGGAGAGGCCACCACCTTCCAAGGTGACAAAGGGCTCTTACTGTCAGAAAATTATCCCTAATTTTTAGTCAAAATCATCTTGGAATCCATTGGTTGTGGTCCTGCCCTCTGGAGTACCAGCAAACAAGCTTGCTCCACCTTCCATGGGGCAGACGCTGGAAGAGGACTCTCATATCGCCTCTCAGTCTGATCTTCTCCAGGCTAAGCAGACCCAACTCCATCAACCGTTCCTCGCAAGGCTGAGTTTCCAGAGCCTGATCCTCTCAGTCTCCCTCCTCTGCACACCTTCCAGCTTGCCCATATCCTCCTTAAACTGAGGTGCCCAGAACTGGGCATGGGACTCCAGGTGGGGTCTGACCAAGGCAGAACAGAACGGGACTGTTCCTTCCCTAGATCTGGACACTAGACTTACTGTGGATGCAGCCTCGAATTGCATTCCCCTTTTTTGCTGCTGCGTCACACGGTTGACGCTGGTGATCTGCTAAGACCCCCTAGATCCTTTTGACACAGGCACCGGATCTATCCACTGAGTAGGCAGAACCACAAAATGTGGGGAGCGCTATCTCCATAGCTCAGCGTCATTTGCTGCCCAAGAGCACAAGACCCCCCCCCCTCCCCTGAGACAGTCGGGAAATTCAGCAATAATCACTCCCAAGCCTTTGAGCGGGGATGCGCTCTGAGGTCAGAGCTGACAGCACTGGTAGTTCCGTATGGGATTCCCCCGGCCAGGCTGCCTTTGGGTACGCGGGGAGAATGTGTGTGTGTGTGTCTGGGTGGGGGGAGTTACTATGTCTCCCCCCCCCCAGCTCATTTCTGTGTTAATTCCACCCCCCCCCTTGCTGGAGACATATATCTGTGAATCTTTTTCACTCGTCCCTCTCCCTCTACACCGACCTTCCTTTTTTTAAAAAAATGGTTTTTTTCTCATTCTTAAAAAAAATATTATGTACTATATTTTTAGTCTTAAACACAATATATTATATATATTTAATTTTTTATATATATAAAGTTAAATGTTAAAAAAAAAAGTTCAGCTGGAGACCTCTGTGATCATTTCAAGGAGGGCGGAGGGCAGCATGTTGCATTTCTCTTCTTTATTGCTTTTCAATCCCAGCTTTCCTCCTCCAAAGAGCTGAAGGTGCTGCACATGGTTTGTCCCCCTCCTCAGAGCCACCCTGCCAGGTAGGTGAGGCTGGTAGCCAGAGACTGGCCTCCAAGGCTGCACCCAGTGAGCTTCATGGCCGAGTGAGGATTCGAACCCAGATCTCTTCCAAGTCCTTGTCCGACAAGCTAGCCCCAATGCTATGAGTTGCAGGGGAACGGGTTTTCCTCCGGGAATCCAGTTTCAGGCCAGGATCTGGAATGGATTCTCCAGCCTCGGCGAAGTGCTTTCCCAATCTGTTGCAACCTGAACCCCAGCACTCTGGATCCAAAGAGCCAGGGGTAGATCCATTGTAATCTTGCAGCTGCTGAGTCTAGGGTGGAAGAGGAGGAGGGGGCTCCCAGATGCTCTCCACAGGTCCTTGGCATTGTGGACCCCTGATGCGTCTTGTGGCAGCGGCCATGGAAGAGAAGTTCATTGCTAACCAGCTTGATTCACCAGATCTTACAGGAGGACTGACTGAGAATGCACCTGTCCAAATCTTGCAGTGTAGTTTCAGTGAAAGACACGTGCATATATTTTTAAAGCATTCCTTTTTTAATTGCTTTTTTACAAAATAGCACTACATTACACCACCCTCTTTCCTTTCTTCGGGCATCAACAAGGAACGAAAACGTTCAAATTCAGAGAGGAGAGGCCTATCAAAAGCTCCTAGCCAGCATGCCTCTGCCTTGTCAGCTGGAGGGGAGAGGAATTGTTGAGCTCAGATCCTGTTTGCAGGTCTCCTAGAACAGGCATCTGGTTGGCCTGATCCAGCAACAAGGCTCTCCATCTGTTCCGATGGAGCCTCCAGGTCCAGAAGCAGTCTATCTTGATTCCTAGGTTCTTAAGGGCATTTGGCCTCTGTGAGAAGAGGAGGCTGGATGGACCTTCCGCAGAGCACCGGCAGATCTTCCAAGCCGGCGAGGCTGAATGATTTCATCTCCGTACAGAGGCAAGTTTGCCTGCCCGGCTTTTATTACCCAAGAGCCGAGTCATTTGCTTCCCTGCTCTGGGGACCCTTTAATGGGCTCCGTGGATGGGCAGGAGCGAGGGGGAGGGAGGTGGGAAGGTGCGCCGCGGAGCTGATCCGAAGGAGGCAGATAAATAGATGTGAGTAGCTGAAAGATGAATAGCTGCTGATGGGGATGAGGGGGGGGTGATGGGATGCTTCAGAAAGGAGCCTTAATGCAAGGAGGGAGGGAGCGAAAGGGGGCTCCCGGCAAGGGATGGAGAGAGAGGACCCCTGAAGGAGAAGAGGGGAAGCAGAGAGAGAGAGAGAGAGAGAGAGAGAGAGAGAGAGAGAGAGAGAGAGAGAGAGAGAGAGAGAGAGAGAGGAGCTTATTGGGAAACAAGGAGGAGATAGAAAGATGCGCAGAGGCTCCGACGGATGGATCGTGGAGCTGAGGATATTGGATTTATATCAGGCCTTTGGAAGACAAATGGACCATATGTCTTTTTATTTCATCGCAAAGGATGGCGACGAGAAGAGAATTAATGGAGGGAGGGAAAGAGGCGGCGGAGGCCTCGCGCCCAGGGAAACAGAGGCGGGAAAGCCAGAGGCAAAGGCGCCCAGGCCAGCTCCTGTCCAAGTCACGGGGGGAAAGGTCTGGAGTCCCCCGGGTGTGGCTGGACTCTCAACTCCCATCCCTGACCGCTCCTCATGGGGGCTGCTGGGAGCTTCTCAAGGGCGCCACGTTGGCAACCTCCGGTCTTAATCAGCCCCGAAGTTTGTGGGCAAAAGCCAGGCTGGGGGGGGGGGCGCTCAATGGATAGGCCATGGGGCTTTGTGGAAATGGAGGGGTTGCTGCCTTAGAGGCGCTTCCAAGAGGACTAGAAGAATGAAAGGGAGACCTCCAAGAGGACTGGGAGCATGGAAGTGGCTCTTTGTGTGTTTTGCTTGAGTATAAAGTTGCAAAATTCATGGGCGGCAGGCTGGGGTGTTAAGAAGGGGGCTTCTCCCTTCATTGCCTCCCCAGGAAGGGCTTTTTTCTGGAAAAAAAACCCACGAAAACCCACAAGACAAAGCACAGGCTCAGAGCCTATTGTTTTACTCGTGTATGCCTTGATGAATTGATCCATCAGGGCGTACGCAAAGGGATCGTGCACAGTTCTGTCACGGCCAGGGCAGCCTGGGCAGAGTGTCGGGCTAGGTGGCCGGGGAGAGGCCGGGGTTCAAGCCCCCTCGGCCCTGAAGCTCTCATGGGTGCCCTTCGGGGCCTCTCCGCCTCATCTACTTCACGGGGTTGTTGTGAGGATTGAATGAGGGAGAGGAAGCGCCACGAGGCGCGTCACTTTGAGCTCCTTGCAGGAAAGGTGAGAGAGAAATGCAATAAAATGAAGTAGTAAATAATTGGGAGGGGAGTCTTTTTGGAGCCACGACTCTGCCCAAATCGGGGCAGCAGCTCGCCGACTCCCCCACCCCGCAGGGCAGTGGGGATGAGCAGTCCCGCTTTGCGCCTCTTTTTGCGCCCCTGCCCTCTCTCTCTCTGGTCCGGGGACGAGTGGCGAGAGGGAGGGAGGCCTTTTCTGCGCCTCCGGCCCCCGAGACGAGCGATGCCCGCTCCCACCGAGGGAGACCAGCCCCCTCTTTTCCGCGCCAGGTGGCGAGCGTATTCCGGGAGGCAGAGATGTATTCAAATTTATTCCAGGATGAAAGGGGGAGCCGCTCGCGGCTGTTCAGGAATCGCTCGCCTCCTCGCTGATGTTCCCCCGCAGACTTCGACAGGGCTACAAGCCATTAGAAGCCGAGGAGGGGGCTCTCTTTTGATTCCCCACTTTTTAATACATTTTTTTAAAAGAAGAGCTTCGCTTTCAACGTATTTTTGTCCTGCCTTGATTTGACAGGCCGCCTGGGGAGCGTGTAGGATGAAACGGGGAACATCTGTCAGGTCTGGTTCAGAGGCGGGGGGGGGAGACAAGGAGCTGCCAGGCGAGGAGCCTGACTCCCGGGTAAAGCAGGGCTGTCTTCACCGGCTGGCAGCAGCAGCAGCTCTCCGGGGATGCAGGTGGTGGCAAGGGCGCCACCTGGAGAGGGCGCATGGATCCTCCTTTCCGCAGGAGGCAGCAAGGGCCACCAGCCTGGGCGGCTTTCAGAGAGGATCGCGCAGATTCAGGGAGCGGGAGCGGGCTATTGACGCCTCCTAGTAGCCCCGATGCGCTTCCAGGGTCGGAGGCAGGAAGGCTTACAAAGGCGCAAGAGGAGAGGGGGCTCTGGGACGGGTTTTCTATGAAGGGGCGTCTGGGGGCCCGTGGTGAGAACAGGAGGCCGCCCCAGATGGGCCCCTAGTGGCCTCATCCACCTGGGTCTTCATTTGTTCTTATGACTGAACCCGGGACCTTCTGCGTGCAAAGTGGCTGCATTGCACGGCAGCCTAGTCCCATTAAAATGATTCCAGTCCTCATGATTTCTGAATGAAGCGCTGGTTTAGCCAGGAACCGATGAAACTGCCTTCAGCAGAGTCAAACCATCTGCCCATCCAGCTCCGCCCTGTCTAGACTCGAGGTGACCATCAGCGGTTCTCTAGGTTTTCATGCAACTAGGGAGCCGCTCCTAGTCGTCCCTGGAGAAGCTGTCAGGGAATGAAGCTGGGAGATACTGCCTACGGGGCAGAAGAGTGAGGACCCGTCTACCCCAGCTTCCTGTTCTCGCCGTGGCCAAAAAGCCCCCTAGGAATCGAGATAGACTGCCTCTGGACCTGGAGGCTCTTCAAGTACACCAGAAGAACCTCATGGATCAGGCCAATGGCCCACCTAGTGCAGCCTCCTCTTCTCACAGTGGCCAGCCAGATGCCTGACTCCTTGGGAAATCCGCAGGCAGGAGCCGCGTGGCTCTCCCCACTTGAAATGCCCAGGAACTGGTATCATTCAGAAGCACATTGCCGCAATGTACACTCAGCCGCAATGGCTGCTGGCCTTTGAAATAACCATCGAGGAGGATGCAGGGCTGGTGTTGCACTTCTGAAAAGGCTTTGCAAAATCTGCAAGAGTTCATCCCAGACCAAGCATGTAATCCTGCCCGTGTCTACTCAGAAACTAGCCTGCCTTGATTTCAACGAGGTTTACACCCAGGTAAATCACGGGTAGTGATTTCACGGGAAGAAATGGTGGCAGTGAGAGATTTTACTTTCTTGGGCTCCATGATCACTGCAGATGGTGACAGGAGCCACGAAATTAAAAGACGCCTGCTTCTTGGGAGAAAAGCAATGACAAACCTAGACAGCATCTTGCCAACAAAGGTCCGTATAGTTAAAGCTCTGGTTTTCCCAGTAGTGATGTACGGAAGTGAGAGCTGGACCATCAAGAAGGCTGATCGCCAAAGAATGGATGCTTTTGAATTCTGGTGCTGGAGGAGACTCTTGAGAGTCCCATGGACTGCAAGAAGATCCAACCTCTCCATTCTGAAGGAAATCAGCCCTGAGTGCTCACTGGAAGGACAGATCCTGAAGCTGAGGCTCCAAGACTTTGGCCTCCTCAGGAGAAGAGAAGACTCCCTGGAAAAGACCCTGATGTTGGGAAAGATGGAGGGCGCAAGGAGAAGGGGATGGCAGAGGATGAGATGGTGGGACAGTGTTCTCGAAGCGACCAGCATGAGTCTGACCAAACTGTGGGAGGCAGTGGAAGACAGGAGGGCCTGGTGTGCTCTGGTCCAGGGGGTCACGAAGAGGCGGACACGACTAAACAGCAAATCCCGGGTAGAGCAGTGGCTGCAATTTGATGCCCTCTTTCATAAGAACCTCAGACGAGCCTGACTGCTGAATCAGG